CCGGCCGGCCGCGGGGGCGTCTCGCCGCTCCCAGGAGGCCCCGGGGAGCCTGCGCGCCCAGCAGCGGCGCCCAGCGGCCAGCTGCGGGGTCTGGGCTCCGGCCTCCCCCGGCACGCGACGCGCCCGGCCGCGGGGGCTGGGGGCCTGGGACCCCGCCCCGCCTCTGAGCGGCCCTGGGACGACCCCTCCAATCACAGAAGGCCCTCGTGCCAGGCCCCCAGAGTTGGCCAATCAGGGGCGACTCTTCCCAGTCCCCAGAATGGGGTGAGGGCCCCAGGGAAGAGGCTGCAGCCCATCGCGTCCGTCACCTTCGGCTTTTGTCCCCTTCTCCCTCCGAGCCTCTTCTGTAAGCCGGGTCAACAACGCCCATGCCGCAGGGCTCTGCGGGCTCCTCAGAAGTTCCCGCCGGCCCGGCCCGGCCCGGCCCCGCAGGATCCTCGGCTGGCCCAGCCGCGGCCCTTCATCCTGAGGACCCCCACCCCCGACCAGGCTGGAGGCTCAGCTGCTCCAAAGAGAACTCTGGCTCAAGATCCCAAGTCCCGCGTCCCGGCGACGAGGCTCGTGGGCGTCGTCGTAGCCTGCGCGGTGGGTGGGACCCGAGCCTGGAGTCCCCGTATCCCCGGAATCCCTGGAGTCCCTGGAGTTCTCGGAGTCCCCGGAGTCCTCGTATCCCCTGGAGCCCCCAGAGCCCCCGGAGCCCCCAAGCCGCGAGCTGGGGCAGCCTCCTTCCCACTGGGCGTCCGACCACTCTCGGGGCGCGCCGGGACTTACCAGGCGCAGCAGAAGGCGCAGGCGACGCGGGCGAGTGGGACCTCAGCGGGCAGCAGGACTGTGACAGGGGATGGCGCAGACCCGCCCTGGCAGCGAGGAGGTGGGACCCAACCCGCCAGTCCGTGAGCTCCGGTCAAGGTCGCAGCCAGCGAGAGGAGGGACACGGGGCGGGCGGAAAGTCGCGCCGAGTGGGGCTGGGGAGGACGCTCACCGGCTGTGCGAGGGTGGCTGGGCGCTCACCCCCTCTGGGCCAGCTCACGTCTATATGCCATAAGGCCTGCCCAGCGGAGGCCTGCCCTCATGGCGACTTAGGGCAAGAGACTGGCTGTGGAGCCTTGAGCATTCGTTCCCAGGGCTTTCAGAAGCCAAGCCCCCAGCAGTGCTGGAAGTGCTGAGCACCTGGGAGGCTGAGTTGGTGAGAGGAAACCCTCGCCAATCCGGGTGTTCCACTTAGTCACTCACTCAGGAACAATGTGCCAAGTACCTGCCATGGGCTGTGTACACCGATGGGCAGAGCCAGGCAAGACCCTGCCCTCCCAGGACGTGCAGCCCCCGGAGAGAGATGGCCCCTTAGGCAGATATCGGGTTCTGCCTGCCCAGTGCTATCCCACCTCTCCACAGCCCCTGGTTTTCCTCGGGCAGGTCCCTGTCTCTGCTCCCTTCCATCTGGAGCTGAGACCCCTCCTCTGGCTACCTGAGGTACCTGTCAACACTGTCTCAGGCACTATCAGAATATAAGGAATAATAAGTCTGCACCCCATGTCCTGACTGCAACCTTTTGTCAAAATCCTTCTACTTGGAATGCCACCACACCTGCAGTTGGACGTCTGTCAGTCACCTGGCCCTCTATTCAGGGCCTGAACACCTCAAGCTTGCTACAGCCTCAGAGCCTTTTACCTGACTGTCTTGAATGTTTTCTCAGATTCTGCAGAGGGAAGGCTCCCTCTCACCTCCACATGGCAGCGACTACACCAGATATCAGATATCAAATAACCAACCCAGAGCCCTAGAGAGGCTGTCCAGGTCACTTAGTCGAAGGACATCCCTCGTTCAGTCCCCACCATATTTGTTTTATTTCCTTGTTCTTTCCTTGTTCTTCTATTTGTCCTTTATTTGTCTCTTTCACTAGAATGCAAGCTCTTTGAGGGCAGGAAACGTGTGAGACATATTGGGGTTGCATCCACAATACACCATGATGGCACAGAGTAGTTGCTAAATAATGTTTGTTGAATGACTTGTTCCCTGCTCACCCTGGACAACCCTGCCCATTCCCCTTTCCTGGGTGATTGTCCTTTATGTTTTGTTTCTTGCTGGGTGACTCCAACATCAGAGCTCTGCAAGGACCTCAACCTCCCCTTGCCCATCCAGCCTTGGGGGTAGCATTGGCTTTTCTTTTTTCACATGCCAGTACAGACAACCAGGACTGAGGGGGTCTGTCACAGCTGAGCCCTCTAGTTTGTTCTCAGGCATTTGGTCTCTCAGCTCCAGCCTGTAGGTCTCCCTACTGTCCCTTCCCCTTGAGTATGGGCTGACTTGGCAACTTCCTTCTAAGAAATGCAATATGGTGAAAGTGACTGTGTGAATTCCAAATCCACCCTTTCACAGGCCAGATAGACAAACTGAGGCTTGAGATCAGAGAGTGGGAGAAATCATCTCATCAGTGTCCCAGGACTACATGGCACTCTCTAAGTGAGTCATATTACAGCCCTCCTTGGCCAATTCAGTTGACTGTTCCAGGAATGCCCTGACCCTGAGCACCATCCAGTCCTGCTCACTCTTTAGGGGTGGGTTTGCACATCCTCTCCTTCAGGAAACCTTCTCCGAGCCCTCTTCCTTGGGAATTCCCTCATCCACAGCCCAGATCATGTGCTAGTGTAACTGTCTCCAGGTTTGTCTGTCTCTGTCTACAGCAAGAGCCCTGAAGGCAGGAACAGGGTCTGCTTCCCTTTCATACCCCAGAACCCTGCATAGGTCCTGATGCAAGACAGGCCCCCGTGGTGAGTGTGGGTGGATATGCTCTACAGAGAGCTTCTGCCCAGGCTTTCTGTGGGAACCTCGGCTGGGTCCTCCTGAGAAGGGTGTGCTTACATAGCCCTAGGGTGTAGATAAAGGAATGAGGGGCTGCTGCTCCAATCCAGAGGCAGTTTAGAGGGTGAGCCTGGCTCAGGGCTGCATGGACAGATGACCAGATGGATAGAGAGATGGATTTTCCTTTTGTTGTGTAAGGATGATTCAGCGTGTTCTTTGGGAACTCAGTAACTGGGTGCTGTGTGCATGCTGCAAAGAAAACATTAACTTAAAGATCTATGGCCGGGCAAAGAGGGCAGGGCAAGTGACCAAGACTCTTTTTTTTTTTTTTAATTCTGGGGCCATGTTTTCCTTTGCTCGACTCCTGAGATGCCGCATTCAGATGCTTCTACCCCACCTTGGGAGTTACTCGTGGTGTCACCTGATGCTCAACACCTTAGAACCTCTTCTCAGTAGAAACCTATATAATTCAGATGATTTTCCTCCATGTTTCTTCTTAGAAGGGCCAACACGTGATCTTACATGTAGAGATGAAGATAGGAGTTAACCTTAACACAGTTCTGTGCCCAGAGCCAGAAGCCATCTGAGGACCTGGAAATACGAACAACATACCTCTGGGGAGCTAGGCAGAGGTCACAGATTTCACAGCCATTTTCCTGCCAGGGTCTCTCTGGCCTCTGGAAGAGGCCAGAGACCCCATGTTAAATCCAAATGTGGGGTTGTTTTACGTTTGTGTTCCCATGCCTGGGACAGCGTGGCTGGCACATGGCCCCCAGGGAACACACCACAGAGGAATAAACGAGAATAGAGGAGAGTCCAGTGCAGTCTCTCCTCTCCAGGTGCTCACAGCCAAGAGGGGGAGATGAATGGGCAGACACAGCAGAAATTAAAGGCAGGAAGGAGTGTGAACCGCCGGAGACAGACATTAAGAAAGGGTGCCGGGTGCATTGGCATTCCGGATGAAGAGAATGGTAAGAATGATGCACGGGTGCGTGGAGGTGGGGACAGAGGTTGTTTGTGAGGAACGGCAGGAAAGCATAGCTTACCGTGCAGCTGCTGCAGATGAGCAGCAAGGTCAGGGGTCACGAGAAGCTACAAAATAGGGGAAGGACTGTGGATTTCACCCTGTCGGCCAGTGTAGCCGGATGCTCTGATTTCACAGGCCTGGACAATTTCAAAAGCATTTTAGTCACTGACATAAGGCTTTCAATTTTTTTGTTTTGCAAAGTAAGAACATCTAAAATGATCGATTTCCCAAGGTCAGCCTCAAAGAAGGAGAAAATTCTGACTCATGCTAAAACATGGATGAACCTTGAGGATGTTATGCTGAGTGAAATAAGCCTGTGACACAAGGACAAATACTGTGTGATTCCACTTATATGAGGTCCCTAGAGTAGTCAAATTCATAGCCGGAAAATAGGATGTGGGTCCAAGGGGCTGGGGAGGGGAAAATGAGAAGTTGGTGTTTAATGGGGACAGAGTATCAGTGTGTGAAGGTGAAAAAGTCCTGGAGATGGATGAGGTGATGGCCGTATAGCAAAGTGAATGAACTTAAAAATGCCACTGAAGCATATACTAAAAATGGTTAAGATAGTAAATTTCATGTTACGTGTCCCATGACCATGTTTCTTTACAACAGTTAAAAATAATTAAAAAAAAAATCAATGTCCACCAGTCATAACAATTTCATTTAGAAAGATCATTCAGCATCACAAAGCTTAAAGGAACTAGTGTGCCTTCTTGGAAACTCTGCCCCAGTTGGATTTAACTTGGGGTCAATGGGCTCTTCCAGAAGCCAGAGAGGCCCTGGCAGGAGAATGGCTGTGAAATCTGTGACCTCTGCCTAGCTCCCCAGAGGCATGTTGTTTGTATTTCCAGGTCCTCAGACGGGTTCTGGCTCCTGGCTGGGCATCTGGGTGTGGGGCCCTCAGCTCTCTGAGTAGCAGACTCGGGGAATCACCCAGGAGCCAGGGACAGGCAGAGAGCCTGGTGTGTGGGACACAAACGAAGAGAATGCAGCACTGGCCCAGGAAGTGCAGGATGGCGCAGTGCCCCAGGGCCAGTGATAGCAGAGCTGTGACTGTCCTCAACCTGGGGGGCGTGGGGCATGGAGCATTTTGCAGCCCTCAGAGGAGAGCAGTATATAGAGAGGGCTGCTTGAGAGAAGCAACAACCACAGGCAAGGGACACGATGGCTACCAGAGGGAGCTGGGGAACGACCACATTTCTCCCTCTCTGGTCTCCCAGGACTCTCTAATAACCAAGCCTCTAGTGGTTAGAGGCAGAAAGGCCCAGGATGAAGACTCAGTTCTCCCAGGTCAGACTCCTGAGCAGCAAGTGGTGGGGGAAGGGTGGGAATTAGTCAGAGAGACCTGTGATGAGCAGGCGCCATCCAGTCAGGAAAGGGCTCACCTCACACCGTTCAGTAAAGGGAATGCCACATGAGGCAGTAGCTGGAAAAACTACAGGAGAAAACCAGAAATGGTGCAAACCAGAGATAGCGAGGCAGGCCAGAGATTAACAACAGCAGAAAGCCAACCCTGAGCTGGACGGACAAAGGGCGGTCTCTTCGCAGAACTCTGAGGTGGGAGTCACCCAACAAGAGATAAAACATAAAACAACCCCTGGAAAGGAAACTGGCAGGGCTGCTCAGGGGAAACGAGGATCAAGGAGGGGGTGGCAGCCACTCCTGGAGATGCTGCTGGGGCAGAGAGCAATGGCGGGATGCCTTGGCTTGTCCTTGTGGTTCACTCTCCTCCCGTCTTCTACCAGGGATTCCCAGTGCCTGAATGAGCAAACCAGAAGCCTGAGAAATGTGTTTTGGGGCCAGGCACTTGCAATATGGGGTAGAGAGGGACAGGTGAGGACCAGGTACATGACTGATACTGGAGTCTAACCGTGCTGACTGTGCAGAGAGGTCAAGATGGGGAGGAAAGTGTGTGCATGACGTCTGGTAGAATGAAATCCCTTAGGCCTAGGGAAAATCTACATTCTGGAGTGACATACCCATTCCTCTTCCTATCTAGCCATCTCCCTTCCTCAGTGTCATTAACCAGCGGTGAGGGCCATGGGGTGAGAAGCCAATGAGCAACGAGGACAAGGGTCAATCATTTTGAAGCGTTCTGCTGGGAAGGGAGGAAGGGAATGAGAGAGGGTTGTGGTGGGAGGGGAAAAGGCTGTAATGAAAGAGAGTTTGCGCGTGTAAAAAGCCACTGGGAAGGATTTGGATAAGAAGGAAAAGTTGAACATACAAGACAGAAAGGGAAGGATGGGCAGTATCTGTGGTAACTAAAAATGGAAGAGAGGGAAGATATCCACAGCAGATGTAGGGAGTGGCCTTCGATGACACTGAGGAAGAGGGATGGTGGTGGATTGATGGGTGGTG